TAAGACCTGACTGAAGGGTATGAAAACCCTAAACAGGAGACTGGGTCACGTAGATCCCGTTAGGCCCCTTGATTGGGGATCCTGAGATCATGGTCACCGATGATTAAAAACACTGAGCGATACGGTTGGGTGTCGTAAACAGTGGTGCTCATGCATCTAATTATTATTCTTGCAACATCAATCTATATGAATTCTCTATCTTCCGCTTAAATTTCCTCTGAACATCCCAATCTTTATTCTGCTATTTTATACTATTGGTCGACCAAAAGACAGTAACCAAAACCAGCACACGAAAGTGCATGGTTAAGGGCTGTAAAAATTGGAACTGAAACCTCAAGCCATTTCACCATGGCAAGGCACATTATCGTTATGATTGTGATTTGTTCATACATGATAGTCGATCCAAGGTTCCTTGAACAAACCATTTCATGTTTCCCTTTGGTTTTCCATACTGTCCGCGCTCAATCCGAAGGCCTCAATGTTGTTTATTTGCTTCAGAGAATGTATCTTCATAGTTGACTGTATCATCCGAAAGGTGGGCTTACAATTGTATTTCCTTGTCATAGATAGACTAACTACGGATCTACTGTTTTTACCTTCGCAAAACCTATTGCTCCCAATCACCCTTGATTGGTCTTGATGGTTCTCAGGTTTACCCCGGTGATCAGACTAAGCACTTCCATGTGCGATTAGTCACTCAGGTTCTTGCCGAGCTGGCTATTAAGGTGTTTTCGCATAGTGTCATAATTGGAGCCAACGCAAAAACAGTAAAAATAGAAAATCGGGGATTAGGCTGTAGAACAGAGCAATATAGAAACCAAGCAATTACAATGAATTAAGATAACAAGAATAACACTGCTTTTGTTTGTTTCGCCATACATTTTATGACATTTGTGTGTATTAGTTTATTGTTTTTATGGGATATGGGATTTCAACAGGCAGACCGTAAGCTTTCTCGTCACTGACTTTATTCTGTGTTATATCTCTCAGCGTCTCTAATCAACGACAGTCATCTCATGGATACCAACCTTTAGGGCGGGTTGCAACAACCGATTCCAAATCTGAAGTTAGCTTCTCCACACAACTGCTGTCTGACCGGTGCGAAGTCTCTTCCAGTCTTGCCCGGCACGTGCAATTAGAGCATGGAAAAACAGACAATGGACGTCCATATGCAAAACGTGGCTAAGCCAATAGAAGTGAGATGGAGTGAATACTGTTTTAAAGAACGACTATCCGCAGCCAACACACGATGAAAAACCTCGTCATTGCTCAATCGATGTTCCCGTTATACACCAGAGATGCTTTGGAAACATTTTCGGTCGCATAAGAGAAACCGATTAGCACCCTCAACGCGAAGGTGCCAGTCTCGCAACCATAAGGCAGAACATTACGAACCGCGACAATGTACGCTTTTCCCTCAAAGGACAGTCGTATGTCTTGGCAGGGTCACATGCATCGTAGGTTAGCAAGAGCTGCTCTAGCTTTCGCTATTTATGATGTGATCTATTCCGTAACACCACTTCCAGCTGTACTGAGGCTCCCAAGGTACCACTTCCAGCTTATCGCAGGGGTGAGTGCAAGCACAGACTTCTGCCAGCCTTGAGCGAGCACTCTGCACTTAGATTGTGCAAAGTGCATACGATATCCGGTTCCTCGATCGTCAGGAAGTCAAAGGCCTATTGGACTGTCTAAGTGTTGTCACCAGAGACTAAAGTAGGGCTATAATATGCTATCAGATGGACTTCGGCGTGCAACACTTGCCGAGGTAAAAAGCAGTTAGAATAATACTGGTCAACCTATGACCTGT